TGAAGTGAAGATGGAGGGGACAGATGGCGGCATGGCGATTGTGGTCATCTGCGCTCTTCCTGCCACCAAATTCAGCCGGTAGTCCCTTCTGTCCCCCAAGCTCAGGCACTGAAGAGCGCAGGCGAGCAGGGTCACCGCGGCGTGCCACGCAGAATTGGCACGTTTTCACAAGACTTTCCCTGTACTGGCTTGTGATGTCTTATCTCCTCTCTTCATCGTGGCCATATCACTTCCGATCAATCGATTGTTGGTATTGATCGCTTTATCAGATCGCTCGATTTCGTATAGTATAGATCATTTCCATGAGTTCTTCTCTTTGCAGATGCGACCAGTTTGTCTTCTATTGGTCTTCGTAACTATCGCTGTGTCCGCCGGTCGTTTTCCAGACCCACCAGTATTTGCGGCTCCACAACATTACCCAAGTATATGTTACCTGCCACCTGGTAAGTGTGTTATTTTTTCAGCATTATGGGATTTTTTGGGCGCAGTTTGGCCTCGTGTGGGCACTAAGTGGTACTTAGCAAAGCTAGTTAAGGCCTGTAAACTCCTGTCACCAAACTCACCCATAACATTTTGCACATTTGCAGGAGTTTACAGGTCTCACCAAAAAAAGTGTAACCTGAAAAATGAACTAGCAAAAGGAACTAGCGAAGGTATACAATGCCCCTCCCAGGCCGGACAGCGCCGAAATTTTTGCTCATTGAGAGCAACACTGTTATTGTGTCTGCAGCTATTTTCCCAGCAATCCAGTTCTCCGTCATACTCCGCCATTTTACTTTCCACTTCCATCTCTATTTACCTAAGCCGCGCGATCAGATTATCATCGGATTCTTTTCGAATTCTGTGGCGTCAACAAACGCCAAACGATGGAACCCGTCGCAGGGAAGACTTTCGGTGTGAAATTCACTCACCCGCTACGCAGAGAGTAAAGAACAGCCTCTCTATTAGCATATATGGGATTCGGTTTTACCTTTCGTTGTCGTTGTTTTTCCCAACACGAAAAACTGTAGCTGTATTCAGTAGCGTCAACGGCACAGTTCGGCTTGGTAGGGGCAGTTCACAGATCTTCATAAGCTGGCCTGTCCGAGTGGACTCGGACAGGCCAGCTTGTGAAGACCTGTGAACTTCTGCGACCAAAAAGACTCACTGGTCCCACTACGGGCTTCCCTGGAAATTATTGGTTTCACTTTGTTGCAACCTGTTATTCAACAAGAAGGTGCAGAAGGAACTGGCCAGAATGCAAAATGCCCCTCCAAGCCAAACAGCTCCCTGCCAATCACTACATTTTGAAATAGGCAAAATAATATGTCTAGGAATCGAAGAGTAACTACCTTCACGTCCAGGGCACATCATTGGTTGGGGATTTTAGTCGACTCTATACGACCCCCCCCCTTTTTTGGGAGTTGGTACGACCCCCCCCCCAGCCCTCTGTCCTTCCTCATCGAATCGAGCCGTCGAGCGGGAGTG